TGTATATATATACATATATATCTCCTGTATACGCGACGCGTGCGTCTTCGCGCGCGATTCAGACCGACATATCTTCGATCCGTCGCGCGGTTGAAGGAAGAAGCAATCGAAGAAGCGATCAATCAATTTAAAGTCAATAAAGAATGTATCCTCAATAACAAAAAAAAAAAAAAAATCATCCATACGCGCGAAACAAAAAAACGCGTGATGTACAATTTAAACACAACACACACACACGCACACACACGATTAGGCAAAACGCGACGTTCCATTTGTGATCGAGCAAAATCCAAGCAGCGCGAGATGGTGTAGTACTCATTTATTTATTTGTACATAAATAAATATATGACGTGCCACTCATTGTGTGTATGTGTGTGTGTGGAGATATATATACGCGTATAAAATTATATATATATCTCTCTCACTTTGGTCGATAGAGCGATCTTTCGGCGGGTGTTCTCTACGCCGCGGAAACTGCGAAATTGCGCACGTCGTCTCGTAAATATCGTATAAGTTCTCAAGTTGTCACTTCTCGTAGCGTATACATAGATTGCGATATATGCCTGCGACGCGAAACATTTTTTATACCGTCAGAGAACCGAGAGAAGAAGAAGAAGAGGAAGGCGCGGGAAAAGGGGCGGAGCAGCTCCGCATAGTGCGGCGGCAACGAAAGACTGCTTTTTAAATGAAAGGAAGCTTTTTATCGCGCGAGGACAGAGAGAACGAGTGGAATATATACCGAATGAAAGAGAGAGAGAGAAAGAGTGTGTGTGTGTGTGTATGTGTGTGTGTATGTGTGTGTGTCGCGTGCATATAAAGAGAGAGCGAGAGAGAGAGAGAGAGCGAGCGAGCGAGCGAGCGAATGTATGCGAGAGAGAAAGAGGGAGAAAGAGTGATTTTTGGCAGATGTTGCACTTTCGGGCGGTTATTTACGACTGGCAGGAATTTGAAGGGGATATAATAGTAATATTATTATATCTTATATATACAAATATATATATACGTATATATGTGTATATATATGTATGTATATATATATATATATATCTCGACCTGCGACTAATTTTATACGGAAGATACGTTTTTCTTTTTTTTTATATATATATACATATATATAGATCCTTTTCTTTGTCTCAACGACTTCTCCTTTTCATCCTAGAGATTCCGACACACAACGGCGTTGTTTCTTTATATATATATATATACATAATATACACACACATATCCTTTCTCTTAAGACATTTGTCTCCCAAAGATGGTAGTGAGTTGTTTTTTTTTTTTTCGTTTTTACGTATAACAATTATCATAGTATCGCCGCAACAATGTGAATTGTATTATTGCGATTATTATTCCTATTCTTACAAACACACACAATAAAAAAAAAAAAAGAAAAAAAAACAAAAACAAACAACTGATCGATTTACACACGCGCGATGTAATAACTACGATCATACGTACCTACACACATACACACACGCACGCACGCACGCACGCACACACACAAACAACATGACGATTATTATTTTTATTATTATTACTATTCGTACCATATTGCTAAGGTCAAAATATACGGACATTCGTAATTTCATTGACGATGCGTCTTTCTCTTCATTTAATCGCATCCTTCAAACGCACACAATCGCATTGTAACACACGCGATCTGTTGTTACACAACAACATATCTCGGGTTGGGGAGTATCGGCGCGCGAACTATGCCAGAGGCACTTTTCCCCTTCCGTTAAAGGAGGAGGGAAAGGGGATACTGTAATTGAGGAGTTTCGCGCAGTTTATATCGCCGATAAATCGCCGTTGCACACCTCGCCTCGTAATACACCGGACGTTAACGTGACTTTACCGCTCACTTCGCCGCCGGCTCACGGATGCTTATCTCGCGAGTGTTTGTTGCCGCGCGCGAGTTGTGTTGTGCTTGCGCGCCTCGACGTTGAGGATTCACGGGCGGCGCTTCCTGCGGCACGCGATCGAATTTCTCTCGCCGCGCTTTTCCTAAACGGATCCAGCTTAATCGTTTGCCAATTTCCGTTCGCGCCGCTTCGGCCGGGAAGGTAAAGCAACATCATGTATAAACAGATAATCGTACAATTTGCTTCGTGTCTCTCCGCGCGCGCGCCTCGCTTCGTCTTCCGGAAGCGGAATATCGCGTTATTTAGGACCTTACCTCGTTCCGCTCGATTTTATTTTTGTTGTTTTGCGCTGAATATATATGAAACGAGCGGTGTTTTTTTTTTTTTTTTTTTCTGTTTTCGTAGCAAGCCGCGAGTTGCAACAACAACTCAAGTATAACCAATCACACGAAGAAGCGGAGGAAGAACTCAAAGAAGAAGGAAGAATCTTATTGGACTTCGTGCTTGCACTTGAACTTATCAGCGGTATATTATTCCAGTAGCCCAACAACATCCTCGAGAGCTCCTTGAATTTCCCCGCTGGAAATCTCGAGCATCGATACATCACGTTACTTCGAACAGGATATTAAAGAGGGGGCGGGGGGGAGGGCAGGGATCGAGACAAAAATTTCGCCCTCGACTCCGCTCGCCCGTGAATTGCAGTTTCAGTTTGCAAACAGGGGGGGAGAAGTTGACTCTTCGGAGATAGTGCGCCCGAACTATTAACCCCCTCGTAATACCCTAAAAGCCGTTATATCGGTTTTTGTTATCGTAAGGAATGTAACTCTCGACGATCGATACGTAACGTGTGTGTTGTGCGCGCGATGCTGCTATATGTACTCGCTAATGAAATTATTAAGGTTTAATACTTTAAACCCATTCTCTCCGTTCCACTTTTGCGCGATGGAAACGTAGCGTAAGAACGGGCGCGTTCCGGATCGTTAAGAACCGATTAGCGCGCGCGCGTGTTTCGTTAACGGCGGCAGCAACAACAATGCTGCTTGCGCGCGCGCGGCAAAATCGCAATCGCTGAAAATTGTCGGTTGACCGAGATTCATTTCAAAACCGATCTTTGGCATTCGCGTGAAGTTCGGGCACTCCCCGTGTTGGAAAGTTAGCAACATATATACACACACACACACACAGCAACGCCTCACCGCTGTATTAATGATGGCTAGTAATTAGCAGCGCAGCGCTCAAAGGCCCGCACACCGTTCCCTTGGCGCGGAGAATCGGAAAGTTTCGTTTCCGTGGGTAATGACGCGCGAGGACGTATATACACCGGAGAATATGTTTATTCGACGAAAGTTGTGCTTTAAACGCATTAAAAGTATGCGCCGGAATGGATCAACCAGCGAGCCTGGAAAGTTTCGCCTCCCGCTTGGATTTAACCCGGGACTCTCTCTCTCCGCAGACGCGCTCCGGTTCTGCGCTCTATCACGATAACAGCTCCGGGTCCGCTGATAGCGGAATACAATCCGATTTACGTCTTCGAGGCGGTAATATGATTTTTTTTTTTTGTTCGGCAACGTAAGGCGAGCGATGAGCCGCGAGTTATACGTCGCAACCTTTTCCAAAGAGTAAAACGGATCGTGTTATTATATATATATATATATTATATACAATATATATATATATGTAATAACGCGCAAAAATGTATTGTATATTGTATTACATATATATATATAACAACACGCGATCCCTTTTACTCTTCCTGAAAAAAGATTGCGACATAACTCGAGTTTCGTTCGCGTCGCTCGCTCTACCCTTCAACCGAGGAGAGGAAGGGAATCATATAATTTTGTGTACATATAAAATATATATTTACGAGTTCATCTCCGATAAAATTATCATTCCGCACAAAACGCGTGTATTGTTTGTATATCGAAAAAAATATGGTTTTATATATTTCGAACGTATTCGATTTCGGGATATATTGGCGGGATCATCTTTTTCGAACGCTCCGTTCGTCGAGGAAAAAAGAACGAGGGACTCGTGTTTTCGAAGTTAATTGTATGCAAAAAAAAAAAAAAAAAAAAGCCCGGTACGGCGGAAAGCGTCGGTGTCTCTCCCACTCTTTTCTTCGTTTCATTCCTTCCGGCGCCCCGGCTTTTCCCAGTTGAAAGCGATTCGGTTCCCATTACCGTGGAACGTTTGAACGCGTAAGTCGATTGCTCGTACTCTACGGGACTTTTGTATTCTCTAAACTCGAAAGCATTATCGTTAACGAGCAAACGATAGTCGCCGGGAGCGCGTGCTCGTGCCGATACGCTACTTCCGGAAATTCTTGCGCAACTAAACAGCCCCTAATGAGCTCGAGTGAACTAATACACGGAAATCGACCGTGGTTGGGGCGGGGGATCGGAAACTAAGTTAGAGCGCGGCGATTAATTCGATTCGCGCACACCCCCGCGTCGTCGTCCACCCTCTCCCTCTCCCTCCGTATTTTTTTTTTTTTTTTTATCGAGTTTCTCGCGCGGCAACCGCGATTCGGTAATAATATCGAATCGATGCGTGATTACCGGTGCGTGATACCGTCTTTTTTTATCTTTTCTATTTTTTTTTTTTTTTTTTTTTTTTAACGCCTTTTGTAATGTTCTTGTAATTGCAGTATTGCCGCCATTCCGTCCGATTACGCCATTACAATGCAACAATCGCGCGCGTATTACGGTAGCGCATCAAAAAGCGCATTTTCCCGGAGAAGAGNTTTTTTTTTTTTTTTTTTTTTTTTTTTTTTTTTTTTTTCTAACGCCTTTTGTAACGTTCTTGTAATTGCATTATTGCCGCCATTCCGTCCGATTACGCCATTACAATGCAACAA